GTGTGTGTGTGCGTGTGTGTGCGTGTGTGTGCGTGTGTGTGTGTGTGTGCGTGTGTGTGTGTGCGTGCTCATATATATATATATATATATCAACACGTACCAATAGCAACCATATATCACTTAGGTTTCTTGACCCTTTACAGTTCTATTGTCCGAAATGCTTTTTGCATATTTTTTTTGTCGCTAAAAGTCAAATATCGATCGCATTTATGGAGATATCCAAGAGCTCACCCTGAAGCCTCCCAACCTTAACTCCTAAAACCACAAACCCGGTAACAGCTCTACACTCACCCTTAACCTTACCCTTGTCTTATCCCCGCATCAGTTGGAACTGATGGCTTGAGGATATCTCTGGCTGCCAGGCCTATGCCTCAGCGCATATCAAAGCTCTCAAAGACCACAAAGTTTTCCACAGCGCAGATAAACCCCCCCTTGGGTCCGCATAAAAACTGGCTGCCCCCATTTCTGGTTGAAAGAGGGCTCAAAGACATGACCGAAATGCCCACCGCCTGGTTTCTGGGTCAACTGGTTAATGCGTTGCTACAGTATAATAGCATGGCGAAGCAGTTCCTAGCCAGCAATAAGATCGATGTGTGCGTCTATCTGTGACTGTAGTTGTGATGTATGTGTACATATTATGTATGTAGGTAAAAGGTGTGTACACCTGCATCGGCCTATATCGCAGCCGCACGGTTGATATTTGATCCCTAGCATACGCTCCTGATATAATGTCAGGATGTCCGAAATCGCATTAAGGTGCCGCCAATAAAATGGCTAGAAAACAATGATCGACCAATTCAAAAGAATGGTATTGCCATGACAAGTGGTGGATGCATGGTCATTGCTAATAGACTTATTCACTAAGTATAAGGCATGTGTATCTATGCGTATATACACATGTATATGTATATGCACATGTGCATATACGCATGTATGTGTGTGCATATCGTGTCAAACTACCACTTGTGTGCACTCCGCACCTCCTACCGATACATACATACTGCACAGACGACATGTATCAGAGGATTATCATGTGTCATATACACAGACTATGAGTTGATATCAACTTGCTTGTCTTACATTTACTCCCCTATTCGCAGATGGGCGTGACAAGGCCAGTTGACGTGGCTCTGTATATTCGGCGATCGGACAAAGTAAACAAAGGTGAAAAGTCTGAAGCACTATTACATACTTTTCGGGAGTATATGCAGCATGTCGACCATCTGCTTTACCCAGACCACGTGTACCATGACTACTACGACGAGGAAAACCATAAACGTGTGGATATCTATGTTGCAACGGACGATACTAGCATACCTAAGTAAGTGCGCCTGTGTGTAGCATCCCAGTGTAGGGATGTTTGTCTGGGTGTACGCATTTACGGTGTGTGAGTATATATGTATGTGTACATATACATACCTTGGCCCATCGCTCGAGCGCATTCATACAAAGGCACACACTATCAGTCATACAAACCATCTGATGTACCAAAACTGCGTGTTCCGCGATTACTGTGAGAAGGACAACTACGAACAAGTCAATATATATGTTGCTAAAGAGGTTCGCATGTTACCCAAGTATGTGCTTAATATGTAAACTGTGTTTAGACGCTTGTGTAGATATACTTGTTTGTGTATAAAATATATGTATGTCATTAAGTATGTTTGTACTTGTATCTCCATCATGGTTTTGGATTATGTTTACAGATGTACATGTACATAGTACTCTTCCGTTGCTCGAGCGAGTGTATGTGTAGGCCCACACTAGCAGCTATGGAACGTTGCATAGCGACTAGAAACTTGCAAAGAACCACCTGAGTTAGTA